GGATCTTGGGCTTGCGGCACACGAAGTACTCGAAGAGCACCGAGTCGGGCAGGTTGCGCAGCGCGTCGCCGCGGACCTCGGCCGGGGTGGCGCAGGCCGGCAGCCGCCCGTCGAAGTTGAGGGTCTTCCGGCGCTGCACGATCCAGAGCAGGCGACAGTCGCAGGCCAGCGGGTTCCCGTCCACGCGCAGCGTCTCCAGCGTGTTGACCGAGTGGAAGGTGCTCTCCTCCAGCGTGGACAGCAGGTTGTTGGAGAGGTTGAGCAGGCGGATCTGCCGCAGCCCCAGGAAGGCCTGCGGCTCCACCACGGCCAGCAGGGCGCCGGCCAGGTGCAGCTCGCGCAGGCGGACCAGGTCGCGGAAGGAGCCGCGCGGCACCGTGCTGATGGGGTTGTGGGACAGGTTGAGGCAGGTGAGGTGGGCCTGGTGGCGGAGCGCGGCTGCCGGCACGGCGGTGATGTTGGTGTGCGTGACGGACAGCGAGGTCAGGTTGAGACCCTGCAGGCTGCCGGCGGCCACCTCCTCCAGCAGCGGCCAGTCGTCGATCTCCAGGTGCAGCAGGCCCGGAAGCCTCCGGAAATTCTGGTCCTCCAGGGCGGCGATGGCCAGGTGCCGCAGCCGCAGGGCGCCCAGGCCCCGCAGGTGGCCCAGAGACTCTCCCGACAGCGCCGTGAGGTTGCAGCGCTCGAGGGTCAGCTCCTCGAGGGCCAGCAGCCCCGCGAAGGCCCGGCGCGAGATGAACACCAGGTGGTTGTCGCCCACCTCCAGCTGGCGGAGGCTGCGCAGGTCCTGGAAGGTGTAGTCCAGGAGGATGACCAGCTTGTTCTCGCTCAGGTCCAGCAGCGTGAGGTTGTCCAGGCGCGTGAAGACCCCGGGCGGGATGAGCTTGAGCAGGTTCCCGCGCAGGCGCAGGACGCGCAGGCGCGGCAGGTTGGCGAAGGCGCCCGGCTCCACGTGCGCGATCACGTTCTCGCTCAGGTCCAGTTCCTCCAGCAGCGGCAGCGCGGCCAGGTCGCCCGGGTTCAGGCAGCGGATGCGGTTGCGGCTGAGCTCCAGCAGGCGCGTCTCGGCCGGGATGCCGTCGGGCACGGCGGTCAGCCGGCGCCGGGGACAGGCCACGGCGCGCGTCTGCGCTGTGCACTCGCAGCGGGCCGGGCAGCCGCCGGCCGGGGGCGGGGCGGCGGGCAGAAGCAGGAGCTGCAGGCTCAGGACGCACAGCCAGCAGGTCATGGTGCGGAGCCTGGGCCTAGGGCCGCGCCACCATCCTCGTGGGCACCTGCGGGCGGGGGAGGCATTAGCACGCGGGGCGCCCGCCCCGCCCCAGCGGTGCGCACGCGAGGCGTCTGTCCACGGCGGGCCCCGCGCCCCAGAGAACTGAACACACGCCTGCACAAAACGTTCGCGGCAGCAGCGTTCCTAAGGGCCAGAAAGCGGCAACTGCTCACACGGGCATCAGCCGATGAACGGATACACACAGCGTGTCCCCCACGCACGGGAGCGTCCCTCGGCCGCGGGCGGGAGCGAGGTGTCCACACGTGCGGCCCCGGGACGGACCCCGAGCCCACGACGCTCAGGGAGGGAACCAGACACGGAAGGCCACGCGGGGTGTGAGTCCACGTGGGTGACACGTCCGGAACAGGCTCATCCGCGGACGGGAAGGGGGCTCGCGGGGGCCCGGGGGCTGGGGGGGGAAGGGGAGGTGACAGCTGATGGGGACGGGGTTGCTTTTGAGGTGACCGAATGTTCTGGAACTAGATAGTGCTGATGGTTACTAAAAGCCACCGAAATGTACACTTTAAAAGGGCAAATTTTGTGTTATGTGATTTTTATGTCAATAAAAAAATTGCAAGAGAAAGCATTTATTGAACTGGAGAAGAACTTTACAAATACAGTGTACAACTTTGGGGTACAACGCCCCCCCAAAAACATTTAGTGAGGGCCTACTGTATACCAGGCTCTGAATACCCTGAAGAGCAAGGCAGATGTAGATCCTGCCCTCCTGGGGTTCGTTCACATCCTCCCCGTGGGGATACCAGTGTTCTAAATATTCTTGCTGGCCACCCCCACAGGCCTTCCGGGGTCCCCCACCCATCTTGTCCTCCCTCTGTTCCCTGTTTATGTGTCTACACCGGTCCAACCACCACATGAAATTACGACATAGCTTAAAACCCTGTTCACTGTCTGTCTCCTCCCAGTGGATTGAAACCACTCCAAGGTCTTTTGTCTTCATCACTTCGACTTCCTCAGAGCCTAGAAGTATGCATGAAACCTGGCACCTGCTTGGGGAACATCAGAGCTCAATCCACACCGACAGCAAGTCCCCAGGACGCACCCGAGAGGCTCTGGAAGGAAGGATGGGTGGTCAGGGTGGAAGGCGGCGCAGCTGCAGACTGGCAAAGGGGACGTTTGAGCTGAGACCCTGCAGTGGGCTGGCTTGCGTCCCCCAAAAAGCCACGTTCGAGTCTTAGCCCCTGGTACCTGTGAATGGGACCTCGTTTGGAAACAAGGTCCTGCAGATGTGACCAGTTAAGATGCGGTTCTATCGGAGCAGGGTGGCCCTACATCCAGGGACTGGTGTCCTTAATAATAAAAGGGACATGGACACGCACATCGATGCACAGAGGGCAAAGCCACGTGAAGACAGAGGCAGGGACTGACCTCATGTGTCTATAAGCCAGGAACGCCAAGGATTGGGCGGAGCCACCAAAAGCTGGAAGAGATAGAGAGGATCCTCCCCGGAGGCTTCGGAGGGGACGTGGCCCTGTAACACCCCGATTTCAGACTTCCGGCCTCCAGAACCGGGAGAGGATAGGTTTCTGTTGTTTTCTTTTCTTTTTTTTTTATTTATTCACGAAAGTCAGAGAGAGAGAGAGAGGCAGAGGCAGAGGGAGAGAAGCAGGCTCCCCACCTAGCAGGGAACCCGATGCGGGACTCGATCCCAGGACCCTGGGATCATGACCTGAGCCGAAGGCAGACGCTTAACCATCTGAGCCACCCAGGCGCCCCAGGTTTCTGTTGTTTTAAGCCACTCTGTTTGTGGTGTTTTGTCATGATGGCCACAGGCAGCTAATGCAGACCCAGAGGATGATCAGGAAAGTGCCCGCTGTGTCTGGGGAAGGGGGTTCCAGGCTGGGGCAACAGCCAGTGCAAAGGCCCTGAGGCAGGAGTGAGTGCAGGCGGTGGGGGTGGGAGGCCAGGTGGCATGTGGCATGGAGCCTACTGGCCCCGCCACCCCGTATTCCTCCCTCCACTCTGCTTGGCTGCAGCCCAGACCCTGGGGGTCGAGGTGGGGTGTGGGTGGGGAGGGTCCAACCAGATGGCAGCTGGATGGGGGCTGCCCGCTAGCTGGTCAGCTGTTCTCAGCCTCTTAGCAGCTGCAGCCCCCCAAGTATCCCCCCATGAACACACACAGAGCCCTGAGTACCCAGGGTAGCTCATGCTGGAGATGTATCCTGTGTAACTGGGGGGGTGGGGGGTGGAGTCTGCACTTTGCAGGTGCCATCCAGGTGAGACGAGGTCACCCTGGGGTCAGGAGGCCCTCATCCAATGACTGGTGTTCTGATACAAAGGGGAGACGTGGACGCAGACGCACAGAGCAGAGGCCACGAGACAGTGGGTCTGAGGGTGCAGCTGTGAGCCACGGGACACTGAGGATCGCCAGGAACCACCAGGAGCTGGAAGACGCAAGGAAGGATCCCCCCTAGAGACCTGAGAGGGAGCACGGCACTGCGGACACCTGAGTTTGCTAAAGTGTCATTGGAAACGGCAAAAAAAAAAAACACCCCTAGTACTAAGCTACGTGTCCATCAGCAGAGGATTGGTTAAATTATGGTCCGTGTCTGCTGTGGAATCGAGATTCCCATGCATCAACAGAAGAAGACAGCTGAGATCTAGTTATATGGAGGAAAAACGGAACTAACCTAAGTGTTCATCATCAGGGGATCAAATAATCCGTGGTTATCGTGGAAATCTGGGAGATGTGAATGTACCAGCCAAGGGAAGACAGCTGAGACACAGTTAGATGGGGGTTAAAAACATCCGGGTAGCCAGACTGCTACAGACAGCACGATCCTATTTATGGCAAAATAAAATGAAACGAAACACCAAACTGAATTCTAGATGCCCCCCCCCCAAATGCCTGGGAATTCCCGTAGCACACGGAACAGCCCCAGGAGTGGTGGGAAGGGAGTTGCTCACAGCACGTGGAAACCAAGGATCGGCGGGCCTCCAGCTGGGAACAGGAGGGAGGCTGTGCGAGGGAGTGGGAGCCGGCTGGCTGTGCCAGCTGTCCTTAATTCTGACCTGGGCATCGCAGGGACACAGCCCTTCCCCAAGGCAAGCTTCCTGCTGAGGCTGTTTTTCTAGGTCATTCTGCCCATGTTGTTGCCCTGCGTGGGGAGGCTGGGTCCCAGGGGAGGACAAGAGAACTGGAACAACGGTCCCCTGTTCAGCTGCCCATCTCACACGTCTGGCAACTTCCTACCTTAAACTTGCCCCTGACTCTGAGGTTACTCCCAGGTCCCTGGCCCAGCCTGTGCTGTTCCCTGTGGTCCAGGGGTAACTGTCCTCGCCCCATGAACTGGCGACAGGGCCTCTACAGCCTGATTCAGGGGGAGTTGGGGCCTCTCTGGCTTTGCCCCAAGGAGGGAATGGGTGGTACCATTCAGCCCCTTGCCTGGTCTGTTCTTTCTGCAGCAGAGAATTGCACCCCCCTCTAGAATATAATTAGGCCCCCAAGCCTCAGCACGATCTGCCCCATCCTCTCCTGCCCTCCCCTCCTCCCTCTCTCCCCCTCATCTACTCTGCTCCAGCCACCCGGAGCCTCCTGGCTGTTCCTCCCACACGCCAGGCCCGGTCCTGCCCCAGGGCCTTTGCACATGATGTTCCCTTTGCCTGGAACACCTTCCCTGCATGGCTCTCTCCCTGACTTTATTTGGGTTTCGTCCCCAGTGTCACATCCCTGTGACTCTCTACTCCAGCCCCCATCCTAGTCTATTTCTCTCGCTCTCTCTTTTTTAAAGTAAGCTCTATACCCAACGTGGGGCTCGAACTCACGACCCCAAGATCAAGACTCACACGCTCCACCGACTGAGCCAGCCGGGCGCCCCCATCCTAGTCTCTCTAAATGCTGTCCAAACCCTTGCTTATCGCCGGTCTCCCCGGTGGCTGGGCCGTGAACGCCACCAGCACCATCACCCACATGGCAGGCCCTGGGGCAGGGGATCCACCTGGACCCCCTGACCACCGCACGGGGGGCACCCTGCCATCGCCCTCCCTTCCCAGTGGGGACACCAAGTCGCACCAGCACCTCTCGGGGGGTGCGGTTGGCAGCATGCCCAACCATAATCCGAAACACCGCTCTGCTTCTGCTGGACTTTTTAAAAGAAATTATTTAATTGAGTATAGTTGACAAGTGATGGTCCGTTCGTCTCAGGGGTATTTTGGAACGGTTCTTATTGAGTATAACACTGGACCTACTTCCAGCACCTCAGAGATACGGTAATGCGGCTTCCCCTCATTCTCCGCTTCGGTCCACTAGTCAGTCAACAAACACCTGCCACGTGCAGCGTGTTCTCTGGGTTCTGGGGACACCGGGCACGTGCGACAGAGAGCTCTCCTTCCTGGAGCCGACGAATAAGAAAGAAGCTCGATGAATACTCCCCCCTCCAGTCGGACAAAACTCCAGGGAAGGGACGGTGGGTGTGTCGAGGGGATTGCAAGATCCAGTTTACCAAGAGAGGGATGTTCCATCAGAGGCCCCACGGACGGGCAAGGGGGCTGAGCAGGTGGCGCAGGAAGGGCGGGGGGGGAGCACGGCGCCTGCACACACCTCGGGGTGAGGCCCTGCGGTTCAGGCAAGACGCGAACATGGACTTTGTACATTTCTTAGGCTGTTTTTCCGTTGGAGAGAATTCTTACAAAATAGCTGCCACAGAACACGGATGAGGGCAAAACCAGGAAGGAAGGACTCGGGCAACCAGAGGTGGGCCCGGCGGGGGCCCAGCTGCCCGACGCAGAGGGGCTGGGGACACTGAGTTGTTCAGCGCCTCGTGACCTCTGGGGAGCGCCGCACCCGCGTCCCTCGCCTGTCCCAGGGCACCCGAGCCACGGTGACCCCCCCCGGATGGGAGCGCAGCTGGCCTACGGCACCCCTCGGGGCCGCTCCAGCTGTCGCCCAGCATGCCCACCGACCTTCCCTCAGGCGCGGCCCTGTCATCTCCACGGGGGCCAGGGGTGCGGTGAGCAAGGGAGGGACCCTCGCGGGCCTGCGTCCT